CCTTGGCTCAAGGTCATTATAACAAGTTCTAGGTAATTTGCACATGAGTTTTAAATTCATGAAATGCCGCTAACTTTGTAATGAAGAAAGATTGGATTTCCATACTTTAGAATTGTATGGATAATTAGAAATAATAGATTAACTACAAAAAAACAACAGCTGTGCAGTCTGTTTCTACAATGTATATGATAAGATAAAATATAAATTTATTTTTAATATTGTAAATATTTTAAGAATGACATGTATTTTTATTTGATTGATTTTTTCACAGAGAGGAGTTCTCTCCCACTGGGACAGTTACCAGATGTATGGATCTATTATGACTCCCAGTCCAGGACCAGTCAGTACTGTTCATATTTGTAATTGCTTGTCATTTCCTACGTTTTATAGTTTTTATTTCCAAATGTTTTAAGTTTTATATGATATTAATCATAATATCCTTTTCTGGTCTGGCAATGAAAACAGAATTTGAAGACTTCAATCCATATCTTGTAATTGCACTTAAATATGAATTCTCTGTTGTATGTACACATACACAGTATAATATCATTTAATAGATTTTTATACAAGCTGTAGGAAACACGCTGGAGACAAAAAAATTATACATGTACATTGATTTTGTGAGAGACAATGTGTTTTATTTCTCTACTTCAGCCACATTTGACTTTCCTTGATCGCATGACTCTAGCCGTTTTTGAGGACAGTGGATGGTATGGAGTCAATTACAGCCAAGCGGATGATTATCAGTGGGGCAAAGGTTCAAATCTCATTTGTGTGTTGCATGCAATCACTAACAGGTAGGAATATAGATAAGCATCATAAGGACTTTGATCATGGATGTTAATTTTGAAGTAAACATGAAAGTGTTGTTATGTATTGTGCTACCTTTAAGAATATGCACTGCATGTACATTACATGTATGTTCTGTCCAGTGTATTCACTTAAAATACTTTTATATTAGTGAAATGAAATATTTTTATCTTTTCTTGTTTAATTTAATTTGACTTTATGGATCCATAAATGTGATGGGGTTATCATCGAGTGAGAATGAGTTTTGTACAGGGATCCCTTTAATTTTGTACTTAGTCTGCTTTCATACAATCACACAGTTGCTCTAATCAGTTTTTCGTGTAAGCTGTTGCAATCTTCTTTCTCCCTAGCTTGCTTTTTTAAAAAATATTTGTAAAATGTATATCATAAACTTCACATGGCTATACCTATATATCATTAGTCTTGACATATTTTAATCTTTGTAGTAAGGTAAACTGAAATGAGATTTATTAGTGTTACAACTTACATCACAACTAGAACCAACATATTGTGGAGTCACTAATTTTAGTAGGGGTTTGATTTCTGTTATTTTCAATGTGCAGAGAAACCAACGAATTTATGACCACCATGAATTGAAGTATTTTTTAGTACATAAAATTAGTTTACATTTTATGTAATACTCTGTAGGTGAAGGATGCAAACTTCCATCATCATCAGACCACATGTGTATTCCAGGGTAAGCTTTTCACCTACTGCTCTGTCAATGTTAAACAGTCAAAGGTTATACCACTTTTTATTGCCATCACATAAAGTTCGGTATTGTATATTGAAACTAGACTGACTTATTGAATGCTCTTTAAACAGAGAATACGGTTGTCATTTTCTTCACAAGGACAAAGGCATTTGTAAATCTCAAGGTACAAAGGGAGGCTATTCTGTCTTTATCCCACAACCAGGGGTGTGTATTCAGATTTTAGAATTAAATATTACAATAGGACATTAAAGTTTTTGTGGAAATATTTCATTGTCATTGTATGCAAATTATTGAATTTCAAAGAGAACACTAACAAGAGGATAGCATGGATTAAATATTGATGATGAACAAGTTCCAACCTTTTTCAGCTTGAGTGCTCCAAGGGATACAACTCTACTACATCTGATTTTGAAATACTATCAAGCCAGAGTCGTTGTTTCAGATCCAATCTTACTGCACAGGTAAATCTTAGCAATTCAGAATGGCATAACGAATGAGCATTTTATAAACATGCAATATACACAATCCCCAAAATATGTGGTTAAAAATTATTAAGAACTTAATTAAGCTATTATTTTCTAGAATATATCTGTGGAAATGACAGGACACTGTTATCTGCATCGTTGTGTTAATGGTATGTTAAATGTTAAACTGAAGAACATGGGATGGATGACATGTCCATATGGAAAGTTTGTTAAGGTAAGCAAAAATAACAGGAACAAGGAACTACTTTTGTAACTTTATAACTTGTTATTTTAAATGTATAGTTTCACTATTTTATTATCTGATGTAAGTTTATGTATCTTGTGATTACCATGAATTCGTGGCTGAATTCTTTCATATGCTTATGCAAGCATAATTAGTGCAAGCAGATATTCATAATGTATCTTTCAAAAAATTGTATGTTGGGACATACATGTATTGTATTTAAGGACCCTTTCTACACCTGTGCTAAATGTTTTTTGGACATTGAGAAAAGTACAATTGTATAATGGTGATAATATTGAGCATATCTATTTAATTTTCACTATATGGTAGGGTCATTTACCCTCAGAAAAAAAGTTCAAACACAACAAATTACCAGTGAACAGAAATCAATGTTATTTACTTCCACAGAGACAATACATGTAAATGATATGTTCAATTAATTTATCTTTGCCTTTTTCAATGTTAAGAATACTTGATTTGATTACAAATTGAGTAATATACTGTAAATTTCTATATTTTAGAATTTTGATCTAAGGGCAGATCACTCTAACTGCAGAAAAATACATGTACCACAGAATCAGAAATCTTTAGTGTGCAGTGTAGAGAGAGTTCTTATAAGCCATATTATATCTAATACATATATATACTTTCAAGGAATTCAACACTTTTTACCTTGATTTGATTTCAGGTGGAAAATCTTACAGGTGTGATTTTATGTCCATCTAGAAAAGACATCATATGCCCAAACGACACAAGCTTTACTAGCCTGTCAACATCTACAGTTGTGTATGACATGACAGAGCCAACAGGGTCAGATTTTCATTCATCTGCTTCCTGCTCTAAAAGGATTTATCTATCGAACTTTACTTCAAACTTTTATATTTTCATAGTGATGTTACTCTCCACTGTTAATATTTGCATTATCATTTTTCGTTTATGAAATTTTCTATATACGTGTCTGCGTTTTCATAAATGTGTACATAAAAAGTTTCATTCACATAAATTCCAGTTTACAGTTTTGAGACAAAGAAAACCTCAATACTTTTGCTCTTGTGACTTTTTCAAATGATATTGTCTATTTTATTAAGTTTATATAGCCATAAGAACTCTAATCCGACTATTCAATGATCCTTGCAATGTTCTAATGATGTAATAGGAACAACATTTTGTTCAACATCTGTCTGTCTATTTGTTAGTCCATATGCTTCATGTACTTTTTATCTTTTTATAAAACTGTGAGAGCTCAGATTTTTAAGGCAGCATTTACAGTATAAATGTATGTCCCAACATACGTGTATATAAATCATTTCTGGCATCTTAAATTTCATATTTTCCTTTAGAAATCCAAGCATTTTGCTGGTCAGTCGGTTTACATAGGTACTGAAAAATATATTGCAATATAATGTTTTTTTTGTCAATTGATTGTAATATGCTGAATCTATATTATTGCACAAACCTTCCAATAAAATTATTTGAAATGTTAATATGGATCTTCTTATGGCCTGTATCATTAGATCTATTAGGTGGACTTGTGTCCTTTGAACCACCAGAGTTAGGACTTTGTTCTCTATATATAGCAAGTATTTTGCTTGAAAGAAAAAAATCCTGAATTGCTGACCTCCTGATGCTGAGCTTACTACACAGTAATAATAAAATGCAATAAACAATCAAAATTAAAAAAAAACTTGTTAGCATTTATTTTATTAACAAGTTGAACATTTATAAAAATTTATTAATATGAAAATAGTATAACAAATACGCTTCTCTATAATCCATCTAAAATTAAAATAGATCTAAACTTTTCAATGGAAAAATAAATAGGAAACGATAAAATTAAAAACAGAGTATTTTGAAATTCAAGTAGCTCTGTTACATGTATACGATAGATACATGTAATAGGCACAGAATCCATCTATTGAAGAAAAATTTCTCAAAATCAATTTTTTTTATATTATTATTCAAGTGGTCAAGTTAATAATTAAACACTCTGGATTTCAAATAATGTCAACATCAATAGCAAGAGTACAAAAGTATATGGCACATGCTTGTTATAAATACAATGTACAAAGTCACACTTTTAATAAGGCATATTATTATATTGTATAATAATTCCCATAACCACAAATAAATTCACAGTGTGATAAAATTCTATAGAATATCCCTTTCCAAAACTATATGTTCTAATATCAAAATGGATGAGAATTAAAGAAGCTTAATAATATCTGAATTCTTTTTTGGCCCACTATTTATATATATTCTATTCATTGACCCTCACTTTCTTATTCACTGTTATAGTCACGAGTGCATAACCACATTAAGAAAAATATCAGATAAATGCTGAATTCCTTATAACAAAATATCATGGGACATTATGGTTTCAATATGACAATTTCAAAACCATTTTATACAGGATTATGTTAAATCCTTGTTAGACATTGAATAATTATCCTGTTGTCTCGATATACTACAATGTCATGTAGAATTGAATTAGAGGATTTCTCTTGAAAGGTTAGAAATGAATTAATAGGTTATTGATTGAACCATTAAGTGAGGAAAACCTGGCATATCTGTACTTTGTGGGTATTAAGAGATGTAAAGTAAAATGTGAGGATGATACCTCAGATAATAATTGTATCAGTATACATACATTGTACATGTATTTGTTTGCAAGAAATGCATGCTGCAGCCTCATTAGAACTTAGCATATCAATTGTTTCTCTTAACATGCTTAAGGAAATTGCAAGTAAAAACAAACCTCCAAGTCATCCATAAAATTAGTTACAATATATAATATTGCATGAACAAACTATAATCTGTTCACAAAAATAATAGCATTTGGAATTTAACTAATTTCACTAACTAATAGCACCAGGTGGAACAGACCTGTTCCTTTTAAGGCATTTAGAGTGTTCAACACAATCATATGCACCCTGAGAAAGCATACATGTACATATGTACAGTATAACCTCCATATACAGGTCAAAGACTAGAATTTGCACAATGAAATTAAGTTTTAAAATGTTAAAATTCTGTTGTGTGAGGGACATCACATATATATCACATATTAAGTTACTGTACTGTACTCTTGTGTAAATAATATCATGTACTCAATACGAGTCCCTTCATCATCTGTGTTTTCTATCTAGATGTCCTGCCTTGTTCACATTCTGAGCTGGTATCAGTGTGTAAGATAACGGATTTGGATGGAGAAGCAGCTTTATTTTTTCATAGCTTAGAAATGTAAATGTATTCCAAGTCCCAAGTCTCACAAGCGCTGGATAAAATCTGCAAAAAATCATTTCAAAGTATTTATATTAGTTCATTTCTGTGAATATATGGTACAGCTATTCTTAAGTGAACAGCATGATGATTTTAGATTACCTTTCACATAAATAAAACACAATTATCAAATACAGACAGTATTAAGACTAATAAGGAAGTGAAATATATGGATGAAAATAAAAATTTTCAAGCAGAAAATAATTTTATAGTTACATGTATAATAATACACATTCCTAAAATAAGCAATCTAATTAAAATTAGATGTTAGATCCGCTCACATACTCGCTACACTAACATCCAACAACGTCCCATTGAGGGTCATGTCAGAGGTCAAATTTTATCAACCAATCAAATCGTTGCCTGCAAAATCATCGTATATTTGATGAAGAGAATAAGTCTAGAGTTGTTCAGAGTTTGACCTCTGACGCGACCCTCTATGGGATGTTGTTAGATGTTAGTGTAGAAAGTATGCAAGGGGATCTTGCATCTAATTTTAATTAGATTGTAAGATAAGATGACACCCTGCATAATCTCTCAAAATTCTGCAATAATTATTTTGGTTACACAAGCTATAATATATCCTCCTTTTCAAATTTCTATGACAACAAATTGAAAATAAACCAGAAAATAACAAGAGATGTTTGTAAAACACTTATGCCCCCCTCCCCAAATATTGGAATTTTTCTATTTCAAAGGGGCATAACTCTGTCCAAAATGGCCCAATTGTATCCAAAACAGAACAAGACATAGATATTCTTTTGATTAATCTGTATACCAAATTTCATTTCAATATGTGCAACCTCTGCGAAGGAAATGAACGAAAACAGAATTACAGACTGACAGACAGCAGCAAAGCAATATGCCCTATAAAGATTTGGAAGTGCATTTTTTTAAAGGAGAGGCCAATGGGCCACAACGCTCACATGAGTAACATTGGTGCTACTGTTCTTCACCAGACTTTCCCCCATGCAATACCTATCTTGGCCCCACCCTACCCCAGGGGGTTATGATTTTAACAATTTGGAAAGTCCACTATCCCAGGATGCTTCTACATAAGTTTCAGCTTTTCTGGCCCAGTGGTTCTTGAGAAGGAAGATTTTTAATGACTCCACACTATTTTTGCCTTTTCTTGATTATCTCCCCTTGTGAGGTGGCTCTGTGGTTCTTGAGAAGAAGTTTAAAATGTGAAAGTTTACAAAGGGACGACAGACAACAGGTGATAAGCATGCTGGAGGTCCAAATCTAAAGCAGAGGAACAGACCTGTCACTGTTACTGTAATGTAGAATGCAAGTCACTATGATTCTAATACTTACCCCTTGTAAAATCCAAAGAAGCCATGTTTTTTCCAGAGTGACATAATACAGTGAAGTATGTTGTTATACTGAGATTTGATAGAGTTCATATAGCGGGTCTTGACTACATCCACTGGTGAAGAAACAACAGTAGCACAGAACCCAGCAGCTATGGCTGACACCAAGTGACATGGCATCCCATCCTCAAGTAGTCGATTCCTAATGATCCACTCATTAAATATATCATAGGTCACGACCTCTGATATGTTAATGATCCCATTCCTTGTCATGTTTGGGACACATCCTGCAAAATATTTATTCAAAGTGTATTTTACAGCATAATATCTATAGTGATATATAGCTCATCTGATATCAATTTTTGACTTTCAAATGTTGCATCCTTCCATACTCCAGCAATTTTACAAGTTTTGAAATCTAACTTCTCAAAATTAAATGTGATTTGTGGATATTTTAATGCTGTTGATAATAAAGAGAAATGTAAGCTTATGTTCTATTTTTCAAATACATGTACCACGCCAAAGTCCTTTAATCCCTTCAGTGGTGAAGATATGTCTGTAAGCTTGCATTGTGCCAGAGTATCTTCCCTTGTTCGCCCCAAACTGGGCTTGCATACGAACTTTGACAACTTCTGTAGGCTGTGCGAAGCCTACAGCTAGGACGCCTGTTGTTACTCCAGCCAGGATCCGAATACTTACAGGAACATGAGCAAGCATCTCTTTATCTGTTACAAAAAAACAATACAGCATTAATCTGTGTTGGAAATGGACAAAAAGGGTTTAAATTTTCTCAGTCTGTTTCAAATGCAGTAAACTGCTTGCCATGGTAGAGTAAGTCTGTGTAGAAGTGTTTTGTGCTGTCATAACATCCCAGTTTTATGGTGGAAAAGCCGAGCTGGCGATGTAGGGCAGGGGTTAGCCCTCTGTATAGACCTTTTACACCTTCCTCTTTTGCCATGGTCCTAAGGGTACTCCATACACCTTTGTATTTCATAGGTCCATCTTGCATACTCTGAACCTGTACATATAAACACTTCACAATATACCAGTATATCAAACTTTAACCCAAATGAAAAGCTTAATAATATTAATCAATCTGTGCTGTACATATTCTTGAACCTGTACATATAAACACTTCACAATATAGCAAACTCTAACCCAAAAGCTTAATAACATTGATCAATTTGTGCTATACCTGTTCTATATAATGTTTAGAATACAATTTTGCGTATATATAATACCGATTACAAAACATTTACTGTCCGTTAACAAATATACAACCAGCCTTCTCACCTGCAGTCTGACTTTGGCGGTATCAAACTGGATAGTAAATATCTCGGCAATACATGCCCCTGCTCCAGCACTCACAATTTTGACCCACAAAGGTGTCTCTGTTCCTGTAACTTTATAAGTTTTCGAGTGGTCATGCCGCAAGACAGTATGATGAGAACTCATTGTAATCCATATATGGCCATGTATACTAACTACATGAGACTTCTGTAGACCTTTCTCTCAGAAATTAATTCCAAACTGCAAACTGAAAAAAGAATAATGAAAATTATAATGGTAAAGCAAGATTGAGTTTTCACAAATGTTTTTCTGAAGTACATATAAACAACTGTAAGGAATGACCATTATGAACCTTGCACTATTATACTTTTAGACTCTATAGATGGGTTATTTGAATCTTATTTATAGGTTTTATCTTTTCTAAGCCTGTGATTCTTGAAATAGTGTTTCCTTTCTATTCTCTGTATTTTCCCCCTTATAAAAGAGAATAGCTCTCCTTTTGTAAAAACTAAATCCCTTCAGCTATAAGGATGATTTGTGAAAATTTAGTTGAAATTGGTCCAGTAGGTCTGTCATAAGATGATGAACTTTAATCAGAGAAGCTCATAGAAAGTTAGCTAAATGCATCTCATAAGAGAGATGGTAGAGAAGTTCATCTAATTCAAAATACTTTTATTATAAGAGAAGCTGCCCAAAAGTCCTGCCGTGGAGGTACAAGTGAAATAGACTATTAAGTGATGTGTTTCAAATACTCTAAACTACATGTATATCATAGGCATTGGAACCGGGGGGCTAGGAGGCTTAGCCCCCCCCTCTTTTTTGCAAACATAGACTTAGTATAAACAATGAACATTGCGGGGTAGGTTTAGCCCCCCCCCCCCACATTTCACTGACACATTGCAGTTTAGGTTAGATATGGGGAAAGTGATAGTGGATAGTGACTGGAAAAAAATTTGGTACTGTATCCCCTCACGCCATGAAATCAGATTTTCAAGATATGACAAAGGAATAAATTTCCTTTTTTTTTTTTGCTTGTCAGGTTATTTTGGTAAGTCTAAAAAATGTTTCTCTTATATTTAGCCCCCCCCCCACTTTCAATTGCTTCCGACACCAATGTATATAACAAAGTTATCAACAAAAGCTTGCTTACCAACAATGACCAAATCATCAACAAAAGCAGTCCAAGTCGAAACAAAAATTATTACATGTGTATTTTATTTTCTTTGTATCTGATGTATCTTAAACTGTTCAAAAGTTATGGCAAAGGTGAAAATTTGTAATTTTTTTTTTTGCAAATGTGGGTCACACCCTAAGGTCAAGAGGTCAAACATGTTGGTCACCCTGAGAGGTCTTGTCAAAATGAATACACATCATGTTAGATATGAAAGCCATAGCTATATTCAATGAAAGTTATGGGCAAAGTGAAAGTTTTTGCGGACAGACAGACAGGTGGACACAGCAAAAAACTATATAATTATATCCAAAATCTAGGGCATAAATTTAAAATAGTTTAATCACAGTCAGGAACTTGGTTACCATTTAAAACGTAAAACCGTTTATGTTGTGCTGGCGAGACTGTTTTCAAGAAAATTTTATCAATTTAATTTAGGTAACATAGGCCGCAACAATTCAGTGATGAACTTATACATTTCTTTACCAAATAAAAATGTCAGTGGTCTTGAAAATTAAATTTAGAACAGACAAATTGTATTCAGCGTACATACATCACAGTATTTTTATATTCTGATAGTAGAGAGAGATTGAAACAATTCATGGACAGGAATCAAACATGCAACCATCTAAGATTTTGTCAGTGTTAGCACACAGTATTTACAAGCAGGAGCATTGAGAGAGTTTTCTGGCATCTTATTTATTGGTTGTAGAATGTTTCCTCCCTTGCACTCTGTCTAATTTTGTTACCCATTTTGACATATACATGTACTGGTGGCTTTACAAGATGAAAAGTGCACTTTATATTTACTGCATCTGATAAATACTACAGTAACTGCATGAAGAAACCATTGCAATAAGCATGGCAAATATAGCTATTCATTTGATGCATAAGTCAAATGTAATCATTGTTATTTCATGTAATTGTATGTTAATTAAGGTACAAATTATGAATTACATCATACATATAATGCATTTGAGCAGTTTCTACACTTGAGGCATTCACACATAATAACAAACTGCAACAATATTATCTTGTATTCAGAACTACATTTTAAGAAAGTATTAGCCATTAATTGATTAATGTACATGATGTAATATGATTAAGATTTTCTGCATACATATGGCATATTTCTTGATGGGTGATTGATTAGGTTTATGTATCTGGAGTAGACTCACTCCAAATATCAATCATGACAATGTCTTTTTCTTTTTTTTTACCAAGTTAGCTTTTATTCTAATTTTGATGGCCCATTGTGTCACTTACTTAAACAAACCTGAACCTACACTACCTGTGGATCAGCTTTCATATGAATTTGACAAATTATGATATTGCTGTTCAAGAGAAGATATTTCATGATTTTCCTAAAATGTATCTCTTTGTAAAACCTTCATCACTCATTGTGACATCCCCCCTCCTTCACCTCTGTGGCTATGTTTTGAACAAACTTGAATCTACACTTCCTGAGGATGCTTCCATATAATAAATATGACCTTTCATGACTTTGCTGTTCTTGAAAAGAAGATTTTTTTCCCATGTGTTTCTTTTTAAAACTTTAGTGGCCTAATTATGGCACTATCCTACCCCAGGGGGTCCTGTTTTGAACAAATTTGATTCTACACTACCTGAGGATGCTTCCAGATAAATATGACCAAATAAGGCTAGGCTGGTAGAGAAGAAGATTTTCCAAGTTTTTTTCTGTATAAAACTATAAAGGCCCACCATGGCCCCTACCTACCTCCACAGGTCTTGATTTGTATACTAACCTATGTAATGATGGTTCCACATAAGCATGATAAGTTTCACAACTTTTTTGGCTCAATGGTGCTTGAAATTTTTTTTTAAAGATGCCATTAACTTTCACTACTTTCTAACTATCTCCCCTTAATATAAGACATCATCCATAGCCCAGGCTGCCCTTGACATTTGAACCACCTTGAATCTCCTTTATATCACAGGTACCTAATTGCAGGACATCCCCCAGCCCTCAGTATAGGACATCAAACTTAGTTATCAGGGGGGGCGGGGCATGGGCATCAATCATGAGGTAAGACATCAAACCTAGTTATCAGAGAGGGAGGGGCGTGGGCATCAATCACGAGGTAAGACATCAAACCTAGTTATCAAGGAGGGAGGGGCGAGGGCATCAATCACGAGGTAAGACATCAAACTTAGTTATCAGGGAGGGGCGTGGACATCAATCACAAGGTAAGACATCAAACTTAGTTATCAGGGAGGGGCGTGGACATCAATCACGAGTTAAGACATCAAACTTAGTTATCAGGGAGGGAGGGGCATGGGCATCAATCACGAGGTAAGACATCAAACTTAGTTATCAGGGAGGGCGGGGCATGGGCATCAATCACGAGGTAAGACATCAAACTTAGTAATCAGGGAGGGAGGGACATGGGCATCAATCATGAGGTAAGACATCAAACACAGTTATCAGGGAGGGAGGGGCGTGGACATCAATCACGAGGTAAGACAACAAACTTAGTTATCAAGGAGGGAGGGGCTTCTACAAGATTTTATTAGCAAATAGAGATTTTGACTTAAGCTTAAGATGTTTCATGATCCCGGGGCCTGGAGGTCTATATCGGCTGTGGGTAGTAGTAAAAATTCTGTCTGCAAGCACCTAGCTGTGCTTTAATTATATATAAAAGATATTTGATGACAAGTTTGTTTTAATTTGCCCAGTGGTTTTTGGGGAGATCAACCACAAAGTTGAAAATGTAAAAATTTAACAGAGGGATGGACGGACACATTGACAGATGCCAGACGTGATGTGTTCAGAAAAGCTCCAGCTCAGGTGAGCTAAAAAGGCTTTTATGAGTTTAGAACAGTCTGCGATGTTTTTATAACTGGTGAATGGTGTAGCTGCAGATCTGTAGCTCTCCGAAAAAATATATTGATAGACCGGAGAGCTACAGTGCCACCCATTGAAAAAACTGTATATTTATTGTGCACAAAAAAGTGCGCTCGGTTCTCGATTTATTTCTCCATGTTTTTAAACTGTAATCTCAAAACATTACTAACCATGTGTTCCGAACATATTCTTTTGCTGTTTCCACAACCAAACTTTCCTCAATAGTCCTCCTGACCCTGATATTGTAATCATAGAACATTTCGCTTATTTATACTGCCATTTTGGTTTCAAAGATAATTCGGTCCAATATGCTTCGTTCAGATGTCAGCTACGAGAGTACTTGATAGAGGAGAAAGGAATGTTTAAAATCTTCCATTTTTTGCAATTAAAGTAAGAATTTGGAAGAATTAATCAAGAACAGAGTGTACGTACTTTTTTGTGTGCAATAAATATACAGTTTTTTCAATGGGTGGCACTGTAGCTCTCCGGTCTATCAATATATTTTTTCGGAGAGCTACAGATCTGCAGCTAGTGAATGGTGATGATATTATCTACAGAAAATTTAAATGCAAAACCCCTTGTGAAAAAGCAAGGTATGTGCATGTATTCTTGAATCTCTAGGCTAACTGCTTATTGTCATCTCTGACAGCTTCATTTATTATATCTGTCACAAATTAACTGTTGCAGTATCTGACAGTTAGAAGTTATATTTTTCAAAGATATGGGAAGAAAAAACATATGCAATGCTTACAGAAATACGTTTGTGCTTCTCAGCTGTTACAACATAATAACCAATAACCATGTCATTCTCACATTACCAAGGTGTAATACTATGCCTACACCATGTACACTGTTTGTAGGTCTCAAAAGTATGTTATCCGGTGACAGGATAATTTGGTATCGGGATGTTTCGATCCATTCATAACACAGTTAGAGTCAGTTATTATCCATAAGAATAAAATACAAAAATCATTTCAATATTTTTAAAGACATCCTTCAATTAAATAATATGTACGGTAAAATATAAAACCAGATTACCTTTAGAAACAATTTCCAATCGGGTTCGGGATTACTCAACCGGAAATGGGAAAATTCCTAAAAGAAATGGTAGATACTTGACGGTTGTTTCTGTTGTTTACTAAGTTTTTGTTTTGTTTAAAATACAGAATAATTTAAAATATATCTCACAGTAACGATGTTCTTTGATTTTACAAGGTTTAACAGCGCACACAATGTTTACTATCAAGAAATCCATTGTTGATACGACGAGATACAGTTTATGGTGAAGAAAGCGTCAAATCTCCATGGAAATTACATCAACTGAGAAATGGTAAAGTTATTTTTTAATTTTTCTGGATTGCATACAGATGATATATAAATTATATAGATACTTTAAAATGTGTTCACTGTTTCTTTAAACACAAATTATGTATTTCTTTCCCCAAGATACCAAATGGACACGATTAATCATTAATCTGTTAAAAAATAATATATATAGGCCTTAAAAGGGGAAATTTGGTGAATTAAAAAAAATAATGATTTTTTGTATAGTAATTACCTTGTCAACAGTCACATTTTAATTTTAAGTCTTTGCTAAGTCTATATTTTAAAAAAATTCAATGAAATTCTTACTGATTTCAAAACTGATTCTTGCATAAAGTATATATGATAAAGGAATGGTCAAACAGTTTTTCTTTGCATTTTAAAGAGATAATATATTTTAAGATGCATCAGAGGCCTTAAGAAAGTCATTCAGTAAAAGATCATGGACAAGAACAAAAGTCGATCATCTTACAGCAATGGAATTCGTACAGATCACGATGACCTGGCGGTATGTTCTTTACTAGTTCAGTTGTATATTAGATTTACAAAAATGTACACATGTTGAAAATTTGGTATCTCAAATTTACCATTTAAAATATCATCAGAAGAAAATGACACTGGTAAATTTTTAATGATTTATTTTATGGTTTAGAGTTAGGAATACATGTATAATAAATTTGCAAGCAGATTTACACCAGATCAGATATGTTTCGAAATTTCCAACTGTTGAAAATATCAGTTATTTATCTGTTATATCAGTTACTTCAATCAGTTCTTGGTAGGTTAAGTTGTTATAAGCAAGAAGAATTGGACCCCATGAAAATGAATGATTTTACAGTTATTAACATGAATCAGTTTAAATTGCAAAAAGCTGTTTTATTTATTGTTTGCCAGGAACTGGATTTACATCTTGATCTGGAGGCACTGGCAGACATGACAGAATCTGATTCAGATTCCTCGGAGGATGAGTTTTCTGAGGAGGAGTGGCCAAGTGCAAACGAGGAAGAGGAAGAGCTACTAAAACTGACACATGATCTACAAGCATCCAATGAAAAAAGACCAATAGCAGTGTCACAACCAAAACCTCCACCTCCCCAGCAAAATTTATCTGGAAACAATGGTGCATTGTTACCATATGGTATGTAATTGATATCAAAGTTTTTATGACTAAAATTATTTCAGTTTTTGAAAGCAATATCTTGCTCAAGTGCATTGGCTATACCTCAGACAACTTTGCATGAAATGAAGTACATTTGTTGATACTTGTAAAGAAACACACAAAATGGTCATGCTTTATTCAGTTAAAAAAGATGAAAAATAGTCAGCTTTGTCACATCATCCTTAATCAGCATCAAATAAATATGCCATTAGATACCTTCCAGGGTCCAAAACCAAGTCATAGTCATAGACAATCACAAATGTTTGCAAGTAATAGTTTTATAACATGGCTCTTTTTTTTTTTTAAAGAAAATACTGTGCTTTGCCATAAATTTCAGTGTGAAAATCAAATCTTGATCCAGAAGCAGTTTCTTGTGCAATTATCCAATCATAAAGTTCATGTGAGGAAAAAAGCAATTCACAAAATAACACAACTTTTTCTTTTTTTTGCAGAAGATGGAATTGATGTGGACAGTGAGGAAGAAAATGAAATCATGAAAGAAATAAAAGCAGAAATCAGTAAACAAATGAGAGAAGAAATGAAATCAGAATTACAGGTTTACAAGCAAGGAATGGAAGCCCTAGAACAAGGTCAGCTGCCAGGAGCCCGGGGGAGGGGGGAAGAGGAGGAGGAGGGGCTGGAAAACATGGAACCCAAGCTAAAGGAGGCCATTCTAAAGATGCGCAAGCTAGACAGAATCCTGGCCAAGAAAGTCAAAAAAGAAAGAGAAGTTAAAAGAGATCGATTATTGTTAGAAAGAAGGTAAAGGAATGAGCTAACAGAAAACAAGTTCCCACATATAACAGCTGTTATATGACTACATGTTTATAAACCTGTATTTTGATGATGGATTGAAATGATTTTTGGAATTTATCATGTAGGATAAAAGAAGAGATTGAAGCTATGAATACAGAGAGAGATGGGGAGTATAGAGAAGAAAAGAACAACACAGAGAAATATCTGGCTCTTACACTGCCCCCTAGACACAATGAGGGTATGAAATATCTAACTATGATAAGTCAAGGAATTTTATAAATGCATTTTTGGAGGAGGGGAATTATGAAAATTGATTTTCACCTAGCTGCCTATTTAGTATTATTTCCAAGCCACCTTTACTTTGTAATGTGTAATGAAATACTCCAAAAAGTTTTTTTAGACAGAGGGTCTAACCCTATTCTACTGGTATCTAATTTTGATAAAGATATAGGGTTCCCTAATAGTAGCTCATACATGTTTTTATGGTATAGGGGTTGATTGCCAACTTTCCCGATTTAGGCGGGATTCTCCCGATTTTACCCTTTCATCCCGCCTTCCCGATCGGGAGAGAAAAATTGACCTAATTTCCCGATTTGTAAATTTCCGATTTTATAAGTTTCCCTATACCGCTGAATTTTGTCAATTGGGATAACAATATCAGACTTGTATATTCAATGCACACAGATAAGATTCATTGTTTAATTAGGTGTTAACATGGTTAATTAGCTACAGGAAATCACTTCACGCTTGAACGCAGAGTCGTCCAGGTGCAGGTAGCTTAGAGCATGGGGCAATTAATTAGGGGATTATCTTTTCAGTTTTAAGGGGTACGCAAGGTGAAACCCATAGATTAAGGGGATAATTGTTTGTCATTTTATTGAAAACATAAATTAAAGACAACTAAATAATAACCAGACCATAAAATCGGAATCCAAGGAGATCGTTATTTGAAAACGAAAGTAGAAAACTACAAAGCATAGCTGCTGGCTTTATCTACCTATAATGAAAAAATATTGTAAAGTTTGCCAGTTAAAATAATATGAAAAAAATCCTGATGAAACAATAAAGTCTATGTCAATTAGAATTTCTTTTCCCTTCCTTCTCCCAAAAGTAATTATAATATTTTATGCATATGTTCATGACTAAGAAATACCCACATAGCACCATCATGCAAGCCTGCCAAAGTTCAAGACTGTAAAAAAATAAATTTCTTTGGGATAGGTAGTAACTTTATGTTAGAAAATTGATGATTTAATTCTTCAAAACCGATGATTTATTTCTTTGAATAAAAAATAAATGCATTGCAATTTCTCAAAACTTCTTTAAATTTAATATCTGATTATAATTTCTAATTAATTAAATATGAAAATCTCATAAATGTTCCCAGAAACAGTACTTTACAGTATCAAAAGTTGTACAATTTTAAATTTTTCACCAAATTATGTGTCCTAGCTGGTAAAAAAAGTTTACATATGTAACTAATTATCCCTTCTTTAGTGAGAGAGGCACCTATTTGAGCAAAAATATTTCCATTTTGGAAAGAAAAACCTTATTTTTGTGTTATTTTTATCCTTTAGTAGTATTAATAAGTGATATTAATTATATTATAAATTTACAAAAAGGATCATATCATAATCATTGAATTTCACGACAAAATGTCGCGAATTTAAATCTATGAAAAATGTCGTCACGCGCAAAATACCCCATGGGAATTTTCAAAAGTTGGCATGTATGGATTACATGTTTGACTAAAGGGTGTACGTGTCTCGTCTTATAAACGGTATTGTTTTCTTAAGAACAGAGAGCTGCAAAATGTTAAAAAAGTCAGATAACCAGATGCAAGCTTATTATATCAAGGTCAAATGATTCCAAGGGTTTTTATTGTAATATCAAAATTGCAAAAGCTTGACTCAAAAATTCTTCTGATAGGAGAATATTTCATGATTGTATAAAACACATGCACACTGAATAAATTTTGAGCTCTGAGCTCAGAGCTTCATAATATATCAGTGTGATCTTAGTCATGATTCATCATACAGACATCTTACAAAGGTTTATTCCCCGAATGGCTACTCGGAAAAAACAACAAGTAATTATCACACTCCATTAAGGGGCCCTCTAAGGGGTACAGGTAGACTTACCTGTATGAATAATCTACCAGAATTTAAATAAAATAAAATGGATTTTTAATTCATTTTTTTTTATTTGAGCAATAGTATGAATAAATATTTTGTATAGATATTTTTTAAATAAATAATTTTACAAGCACAAAACATTAAAAACTATAAATTATCTTGAAGTTCTATTGTTTAGCAGCACTGATTTTCACATTATATATTAAATAACACTGTTTCACTTTCATATCACACATATTTGCAATATGTACAATTTATTTAGTCCATCTCCATATATATATATACTGAGCTGTAGCTTGTGTTGTTCTTGTATTTACAGCTTGGACTGCATCATTAGGCAGATTCAGCACATCATTTTCTTTGACACTTATTACGATAGTTTTGCTTATTTAAAATTTCAAAGTGAACTGATATCAATTATCAGATGCTTCATGAATTAGCTTATTAACTTAGGAATTCATTAAAAATCAAAGTGATCTGTTTTTATCTCGAATCATCTATATTTATTATAAAAATTTAAAGATAAACTTCTGTATCTTATGATGATTTAAAAGAATGTTTTAATAATCAAAAATGATAAACAAATGAATTAAATTAGACAAAACTTAATAGAAACACTTTATTTATCATACATAAATATCTATATTATTTTAAAAAAAATCATTTGTGCTAATTTATTTAAAAGAGTTTGAAAATGTAGCACAAAAATGGGATAATAATTTGTAAATTCTCAATCAATACTATTGAATAGTTTGGAAAAAATAAAATTAAAGGTACAAAAAAAATTATTTTTCTTAAATCTTATTTTTATCTATATAGAAATATCTATCTATATTTTATTCAATATGTTTCGGAAAATAAAAAAACCTCTTAATTAAAATAAAATTGAATGAATAAATCTGATTTATAAAATATTGCTTATCCAGGTAAACACAGGTAAGTCTACCTGTACCCCTTAGAGGGCCCCTTAACTGAGTGTGATAATTACTTGTTGTTTTCTCCGAGTAGCCAATACAAATGATAATAGTTTTTAATGTGCCCATTTAAGGAAATTGTATAAATTTCTTTTGGACTGTTTTATACGGTGCTTTATAAGATTTTTTGTAATATTCCTCCTTCTCACTTTTTATTTGATATATTGTTCTGATGCCTTTATTTTATCAATATAGGCGTTAGTATTAGTGAGACCCAAGGGCCAGATGTATTCACTACAGAATTAAATGAGAGTGATTACCCAGGGCTCCAGAGGAACCAGCAGCAAGGGGGAGCAACTGGGGGATCAGGTACTGTCAAATATTTAATGTGTGTTTAATTTTAATTTTTTGAAAAAAAAGTTGTTTTAAATAGTTTTAATGTATTGACTTTACTTTAAGGTGCACAGAATAGTCAGACTGGTGCACAACAGGATACCAACTCAGAGTTTGGAAGTGAAATGTCAGCCAACACAAAGAAAAGGAAGCATCGAAAGAAAAATTTTATCAAACGTAACAAAGAGGTAAGGATATACACGTTAGTGAATATTATATAGATACAGTTAATTCTCGATAAACCGCCACCTTTTGTTATTTAGAAATCATGGCGGTATAACGAATTTGGCGATGAATTGAATTTTCCATCTTTTAGGAAATAAGAGGTAGAGTTATCGTTCTTAGAAATACCATTTAGCGTTTCTTTTCTTATTATCACATGTACATGTATATAAAAAAATATTTCTAAATTTGAAAATACTTCAAGTAATTTTTTTATGTACAATTTCGCTAAAACAAAATATTCAGTTATGAAATTAAGACAAGTACATGTGTATGCATGTAAATCTGCACGTCTGATATTGAAAAAAATGCTGGGTTGATCGTCGTGATATATTGCCTATAGTACTTAAAATAAGTTCTTGAATAAATTCATTGCTTATGAATCATTGTTAATGAAACGTCCACAATTTCTGACTTATAATTATTTTTAAAGCAAACTTTGCATTGTTTTTAAAAGCAGAGATCATCAAAATAATATCGTTATCGGCGTACCTTACAACGACCGCTTGCGTGGCGAAGCTTTGACTAAATAATTTTATTAAACAGAAAACAAAATTATGCTAACAGTTCATGTTAAAATTATTGTTTACTTAATTGCATGTACCTTGACTGGCTTTGCATGCTTTACAACAGGGATAGCGTCAACCAATTAGCCGCGCTTCACTGACCACATGCACCTGTGGCGGTATTATCGAGATAATTGACACTTAAAAATGGACGTTTGTTTTGAAAACAGGGTGGCGGATGGCGGTATGCGAATTTGGCGTTATAAAGAGAATTTTATATAGCAGGAAAAACGTTCTTGGGAAATCATGGCGGTATTGCGAAAATGGCGATGAATCGAATGGCGATAATTCGAGAATTGACTGTATTTTAGGGATGGCAATTTGTAACCAGTTAACCAACTCGGTCAGAACGATCAGAATCGGTTAGAATTAAAATCTGCAATCGGTTAGACGGAAAAAATAAGATATATGTAAAACTGAACATTATTTTCTCAAAATTGATGTTTATAAAATAAATTTCTACACATAGGGTTTAGATTTACTGTTTAAAAAAATTATTTAAGCAGATTTGGAGGTAATTATCCATGGCTTTCCGGATAGAGACCATGGGGTAATTGGTCAGTTTTGTTTATAGTCTTAATTACTGTGAAAACACTATGTCTTTACCCTGATAGGGGTGCGTATCATTACCTCTACATTTTCAAAATTTTCATCACCACTATATAGTCATTACCACTACAAAAAACCTTACATTACCTCTACATAAAAAAGTATACATTACCGCTACATTGCCTCTTTCGTTAGCCAGCCAGATATGCGTGTACAGTACAACCTATAAATGCATAAGACCCGTTTCCCCTGCTCACCACGGGGAGGTGAAAGTAGGACTTTAAGCAGGATGTATTTTTATCATTAAAATCAATTTTATTTCATAATACACACAAAAAAAAAATTAAACTCAAGCACTGTTCATAGATAAAATTTTAAGTTTTGTCAAATGTTTTTACACTATCGCTAAAGCCTTGAAAGCCATTTGCTGACATATTGTTGTTTTCTAAATCCTGGTCAATTTTTCTCCTTCTCTTGTACCACATCAAAACTAACTTCTCCCAATGACGTACAAGGTTTTCTTTCCATTTTTTTAAAATTTCAGATACCCGACAAAAACCTGTCTAATACCTGTCAGTAACATTAGCAGTATACTGGTTAAAACCCCCTCCTGTAATTCACCGTCCACAAATCGGCAAGTGATGATGCTATTCGTTATCAGCAGTTCTCAGTGGGGATCTGAGTGAATTCTGTTGAACTCATGTACCGAACCATACCTGGCTAAATCGATATGTAGCGGTAATGAGTTGTTTTGGGATGATTCAATATGTAGCGGTAATGAGTTGTTTTTGGTCGGAAAAATGTAGCGGTAATGATCGGTCGAAAATCTGAAAAAATGTAGCGGTAATGAGTTGAAATTTTTGGCAGTGTAGCGGTAATGTTGACCTCCCGCTGATAGAACTATAATTCTTTATTAATTACAAATGAATCCCTCTAGGCTCTGTAAATTGGTATGTTTGTCGTTTTCAGTTATTTATCCAATTAAATCATTAAAAAATGTTATTTGAATCAAGGGCACATTTAAATTCTAGCTTTTGTGACAACCCAGAATAAACTTGTGTGACATCCACTATAAGAGAATTATCGATGATTTTTCTAGACCTTTTTTCATGTTTTTCTTAATTTTTTACTTGTCCACTGAAATTTAAATAAAGATATGCACCTTTAGTTTTCTGATCCGAGGAAGTAAAATATTTAAAACCTCTGTCATTTCGAGTCTTTTTGTGTACACGGATGAAGCTACTTGAAAAAAAATGCCAAGAAAATTATATAATGTGTATTTTAATACGATTAACCGGTTAATCGGTTGGAACCTCTTGCGGTTAACCTATTAGAAATTCTGTATTCGATTGCTCTCCCTAAAATGTTTTTCTTTTTATTAAAGATGCTTAAAATATATTAACATCTACATTATATTTATCATATCTCTTTTGTTATACTGGGTAAATATATTCATTACCGGAGTAAATAACCTAATTATCAAATATTTTTATTAAAAGGGATGGCAATGCCTCCTGTTGTTGATAAGAAATTTTAACTTTGACGGGTTCTATACTTGGATTTTTTTTTTAAAGAAATTGTTACGAAATATTTTTAAAAAATTTTTTAGTTAGCTAAAGATGCTGGAAGTGAAGTTGCAATGACTGATGAAGAGAAGATCCGAGTTGGTGAATTACTGAAGGATCTGGATGATCTTCCAGAAATACTGGAGGATGAGGTATGCTATCAGTAATGAAGATTACATACATTATACAATGAAAAAGATTATTTGCTAGAATTAAATTCAAGAATTCAAATCTAGAACAGAGTATGTTAGAATGTTATGCATATGTCAGCTGTGGAGGTTTGGTATGTAAATACTTTGGTTTGACTGTAGGATGGTGCTGAGAGTGGATACCAGATGGTGGTACACCCAGGGGAGGGATTCTGTCCTGACCCCGAGGAAATGAGGGTACTGGACGGAATTGACAGTCGATTGAAAGAACTTCTTCCTCCAGAGGAATTTGAGGAAGTGTCAGCACGTTATTCACAAAATGTTAGTATAACACATACCAGTATATACTTCTTCATATGACATATTTGAAATATAATATTATGTATCTTCCTTAATTGATAAATTTGAATGTTCGTTTTAAAAATTTTTAAAATATCTAATAAGAAATTCTATCCAACTTTAGTAAAGAAAATGCATTGTCAAATGTTTGTTCCCATCTTTTAAAACTCAGATTTTATCGGTGTTCTTTTATAGTCACATGACTGTGTATGTTTTGGTTTTTTTGGTTGTCTTTAAGACTATTCTAGAGAAAAAGAAATTCATAAGAAAGGACTTATTGAACCCTTTTCAGTCTTTTCTAAATTACTGCATCAAAAGAATTTTTTGCCTTTTTCTTTTATTCATAGAATTATAGTGCACCGTTTTGTGTCTATAAAGTCACATACATATTTTGCATGGTTGTTGTATAAAAACTTATGGGAAAAACACCAATTTTCTTAATAGCTACAGTATTATGATGTGTTTTTGTTCACATATCAGCACCATAAAAAGCTTTTCACACCAGTGGGGTTTAAAAACTTGTCCAGTTTTGAACATTTTGGAGAACGAGCTTTACTAGAGAATAAGGAACAAAGAGATATGCAAGCACGCCTCCATAGGATCGAAGAGGAACTTGCCAAACTTCACAACCCAGAGGAGCTGGAGGTAAAAGTGTACTGCATGGTCACTGTGACATCACTAGCATAGGATAGATGCATGTCAGAAACTCTAAACTGTATTCTTGTTATTAAATATAGGCTTTATATTTACACTGTCATGTATGAATTTTGTGTTAGCACAAATAATGAAATAGATGTATGATATTCTAAAGTAAGTTACATTCCACAGCTTGAGACCCCTGACACTTTGTCTGGAGACCAGTTGAATGATCTTTTGGACCAGTGTGCCAGATCTCTGTCTCGCTCGACTCTGATGGGAACAGATTCTAGGATATCTCATAGAGACGCAGAATCTCGTGACACTCAGAGATCAGCTGTGTCTTCCCGAGCATCACTGCCCGAGTCTGACGCAGATTCCATGTACCTTCCCGCGGACGATACGACACCAAGGTATCACATCTGTCTGGAAATTTGACAGTTGTTCATCATAAAACTATTAGTATTAAGAAAGAACAGGCATATATAATCACCTAGGACACTGTATACCAAAAATCAAGCAAGTTTAGTATGTAATACAGTCAAATATACAGTAAAACAAGCTTATAGCAAAATGCAAGACTCAGATTTTCCTTCATAATAAACGTAATTTGTATCAGTTAGCTTCATGATATTTCTATCACTCACAGGGAATGAAAATTATTTCACTATAAGCTTCAGTTTATTATATGTGTGTGTGCTATAAATGTGTTTTACTATTTCCCCTTAAGAGCTGATGTAACTGTACTTATCATTTTTTTGATCAAGTAATTATTTGTCTATAGGCCAGAGAGTGTTCAGTGGTGATTCTTCTATGAGATACAGATAGATAAAATAACACAGAAAAGAGAACAAAAGAATATACAGGGTTCTTAACTTGGAATTAACAATGTTCTGAAAAATTGAAGTAACTTTTATTGATGAATTCCAGCATCAAAAGAAAATCTTTAAAAAGAGATGTCTCTTTACATTTAGGAGCCAAAGATCAGCTAGAGAGTTGCTGATGGAGAACCCCCCTAAGCTGTCAGACGAGGAACTCCAGAAGTTGTTGTCTGATGCACACTTCCCCCTGAAGAGTCGACTATCCACTCTGATGGAGGAGGAGGAAGAAACAGGTCAGGACATTTTTTACACTTTACCCTCCTACTTGGAAGAATTTTTTTTATTATTATTTATTTATGACAAATTTAAATAGTTGATACAGTTGACTATCATTATTTGATTGACATTTTCTCCACAGCCAGAACTTCTGATATCATTTTCAGTTTTAACATTATATAGAGAAGGTAAATCACCTTAGATATTACATGTCATGTGTTTTTTTGTAGATGTTGAGTCCAGGCCTACATCTATTACGGCAGAAACATGGAAGTTAATATCCCAGGAAAAAACAGAAATCAATGATCAGAATGAAACAGACAGAAATGTTCACAATAATGTCCTTTTTTCAAGTGTGTCAGACTCAGATCGTAACAGTTCAAGGAACTCTCAAATACCAGTGTTACCGGAGATAAACCGATCTGGCAGTCTGATAGCACAGTGGAACAATGAACGACCGTCCAGTAGCCAGAGCCGTAATAGTTCTGTGTTGACAATAAGAAACAGTTTAAATGCTGCCTTGGTCAGTGACAGTATAGAAATAATGTCAGTAGGAAGTGAGAGTGTGGCTTCCACGCCCCGCCCTCCCAGCGGTGAAAAACCAACTAATATGTCCCACAGGGCAAGAATGGAGAAAAATATCATCCAGTCATCCTGAATGTGCTAGGCATTTTTATGATTTTTTCACCATGTTTTTGACAGGGAATTTCCGTCCTCTATTGTTTGTATTTATTAAATATTTTCAAGTATTACCTTTGAAATTTGTCTTCATTACTGTATATTTTTCTCTATTAGCTTTACAAGTTTCACAACATGTTTCTTTTGATAAATTTGTTTCATGATTAAAGGCACCCAAGGTTTTGAAAGTGTCAGAAGAGCAAGGCCTGCGCAAATAATTACGTCAGCCATAATATAAGGGCAGTATTAAAATATGATAAAAAAAAATGTAGTTCATTGTCTACACAAATATCTAATTTGTCCGAACAAATAACTTGTTTGTCACAGTAAATTGTCCGAATATTTTTTAACTAATTCGTCCGAGCGAATTTCTAATTTGCACTTGTTTCAGAAATAATTTTTTTAAACAAAAATATAATAATTATGCTATGGGTTAAAAGATATTTCCTAAACAAGTGCCTGTGTTGCCTACATAGCAGAGGGACACTTCTCATTATTGTTAGCTCACCTGAGCCTAAGGCTTAAGTGAGCTTTTCTGATCAAAATTTGTCTGTTGTCTGTCGTTGTTGTCGTTAACTTTTCACATTTTTGTCTTCTTCTCAAGAACCACAGGCCCAATTTCAACCAAACTTGCCACAGAGTATCCTTGGGTAAAGGGGATTCAAGTTTGTTCAAATGATCGAACACACCCTCTTCCAATGGAAGAATTACATGTCGCAAAAATTTAAAGATCTACAAACTAGAATCAAACTTTAATGTCAAGATCTAATAACTTTAGACTAATTTTTCGGTGCTGATCCATTATGACGTTATAATCAATTTCAACTTTCTTTTTCCCGTACTTTACGGCTTTAGAAAGTCTCATTTATTTCAGAATTATGTTATTTAAAATAGGGTATTTTCATGACATTCAATCTGAAATCATATGAAAAGTTAACCGGATACTTATATTAAATTTGACATTGATTTAAAGAAGAGGCTACGAACATACTAATTACCGTTTCCTGAGAGACTGTAGGCAATCTGGATACATTTCCTTTGCCGAATATGAAGAAAACTCCCATACTCATGACTGGTTTTCTTAATTTTTTCATTGAAAATGACAGCTTAAAATACAGTTTTTCATCTTGTTTACCTACAAATTATGCCCCGAAACACCTTATTTGACCAATCTGAAGTTGTATAGCATCAATAAATGAATTTATTTCTCAAATTTGATAAATCTGTAGGCACCTTTCATTTACTAGATCTTGACCTTAAGGTCAATGGCAGAAGGTCAAAAATTAAAATATATTCAGATCTTGTTACAGTTAATTCACATGTGAAAATATACTTACTCTCATTACCAATGATGAAAATTAGAAGGTTAAAGATCAAGGTTATGAAGTCCAATGCAATGTTATATTTTGAAAGGCCTTTTCAGAGTTTAATTTTTTTGGTCAAATACACGTACTGACGCAAGGATAGATGGAGAGACAAACAAGAGATTTAATACCCCCTCCCCTTTCATGAAAAACACTAACACCCTAACATACATACAAACATGTATACATATAAAGTTGAACTTCAGTATCTGTAACATGAATAATTTGAATACTGCAGTACTATGGATATGTCCAAGTGATTGTAATGTCCAATCTACTTATACTTTAAAGTATTTTACCCTTGTTATCTTCACCTGAGCCTTCGGTGAGCTAATCTGATCAAGATTTCTCTGTTGTCTGTCGTTGTCGTTGTTTTCGTCGTCGTCGTTGTCATCATAAACTTTTCACATTTTCATCTTCTTCTCAAGAATCACTGGACCAATTTCAACCAAACTTGACACAGAGTATTCTTGGGTGAAGGGGATTCAAGTCTACTCAAATGAAAGGCCACACCCTCTTCCAAGGGAATATAATTATGAATTATAAAAGCATAAAAAATAGATTTAAGTTTGTTCAAATAATCCCCCCTGAACCAATTTAATCAAAATTAGATTATAGATCCGCTTGCATACTCGCTACACTAACATCTAACAATATTCCATAGAAGGTCACGTCAAAGGTCAAATTCTATCAATCAATCAAATTGTCGCCTGCAAAATCAGCGTAAATTTGTTGACGTAATCGATGTGAATATGTCTAGAGTTGTTCCAAATTTGATCTCTGACGTGACCCTCTATGGGATGTTGTTTTAAAGATGTTAGTGAAGCGAGTATGTGAGCGGATCTTACATCTAATTTTAATTAGATTGCTCCTGAATCCACTTTTATATTCAAAGTTTTCATTACTGAACTGATTTTTGCTTATACCTAGCTAGTTGCTCAGGTGAGTGATGTGGCCCCTGGGCCTCCTGTTTCTAAGTTGATACAGACTCCAGTGATGGCAGGCATGTGCCACCACCATCCCCACAACGTCAAGGTTTTGTGATTTCAAAACTTTGACATTGTGAGGATGTGCCACCATATGAATTGACTTAATTTTCTTTGTTAAATGTAGAAACTACTGTAATAGTGACATGTATGTGCCTCAGCCTGAGACTGAACCCTGGACTTCTGGAATGTCAAGTTAAAACCCATTAGTCCGATTAGCATTTCCCCAAGTCTCCTTTCTTCAGATAGTATCTTTAAAATTTTAAGAGAGGGGATCAAAGGTCATTACTCAGACCCCAGTACTGCCCCCCCCCCTGCCTTTGATCTGAGTCTGACCTGCCTAATCCAAGTAAATGTCATCAGTAAAATGGTTAATGTAAGATAGATGGCATCCTACTAGCTCTCTGTGATCTTTGATTACCTGTGTTTGATTCTACCTCGGAAAAGTCCAAATAAAAAGGCTGGTTATAGTTATCATTTTTTTTATTTAAATCACTTTTTTTGTTTGTTAGCGCACATCGGTGTAGGAGGAGGATATCCATTATACCTTTGTATGAAATCACAGGCACCAACTTGAGGGACACTATCTGATTTGAAACCTAAAATGCAAAATAATCTCTTGTGAATATATTAGAAAATAACATTTGAAAAAATGTTAAGTTATTTTGTCTGAAGTACAAAATGTTCAAAATCAATTAGATTTTCAGAGTTTACCTCCTAGAATATAGGTTTGCCCACTTTCCAGGTCCACTCCACATTCCTGAGGGCTTCTGGTGTAAATTTCTGTTGGACTGTCTCCCACCTACAAATTACATGCAATTATTTATTTATTCAGATCAGTAGAACATGGGGGGGGGGGGAGGAGGTCATCAATTTTCCCCCTGAGGATTATAGTCTTTGAACTAAGTTTTATTAACACCCCCCCCCCTTTTGTTTTTTAAATATCGAGCATTGACAAGGGAAAATATATAAAAAGAAGTTTTTTAAAAAGTCAAACATGTCCGTATCAGCACGGAGCAAAATGAACTCAACATAACATTTTATGTCAGTTTCTCCACAATATTTTTTTTCTGCATGAGTTTCCCGAATGCAACATAAAATTCTATCGTTAATCACCCCCTTTTTTGCCTTTGCAATAAAAAGTCAACATGTTTACATGTATCACAGGTCTATAGGAAGCATAATCAGATTGGGGGCACAGCCTTACAATCTCATACATTTTTAGGGGGAGGGGATTCGTGTGGGGAGGGAGCTATCTACTATACCAAAAATTTCTTGACAAGCAAAATACAGTGATATAGATGTGTAAATCATGTTTTCTATAGTATTAGCACAGGCACTTGTTTCGTAAGGAAACACAAGCATATAGTGATATAGATGTATAAACCACATTTTCTATAGTATTAGGCCTATATATTTTTCGGCAAAAATAATAAAACTGCCGATATACGTTGAATACTATAGAAAACTATACCCCTTCCCCTGCGTTTTACAGTCATGTATCACCATGGAGCATTCTCGACTATATTGTAACAACATGATGCATTTATAATACATTTATTGACTGAGTTTGAGGGCAACATGCTTTCTGCAGGACCCAAGAATCAAACGATAGAGATGTCTAAGGCCGTTAGGCCCGCTCAGTAAGACATTAGAAATGTTATACTTTTTACATATAGATTTGTATTGGAACAACTTTTTAAAGGTATAACAAAACATTATAGACAGTTTCTTAAAACAACGCCGTAGTTCCCGACCGCAACACTAAAGTCCCAATCTCATTAAAATCAGATCCTTTGATCCGCTCATATATATCTCTACACCTTTCTAAAACCATGATCCACTTTTATGGTTCCTCTATTCTCCAGGTTGGTCATGATTTGAACAAATTTAAATTTACATTACTTTTTGATGCTTTTATATTGATGATCATAGCTTTGTTCTCGTGAAGAAATTTAACAATTAATTTTTCTTATGTATTCTTACGTAAAACCTTGATCACCCATTGTGGCCCCACTCTACCCCCTGGGGTCATGATCGATTTGAACAAACTTGAATCTACAGTACCTGAGGATGCTTCCATATAAATATGAACAATCACAGCCTTGGTGTTCTCGAGAAGAATTTTAATCCTTCTTAAAACTTTGATCACCCATTATGGTCCCACCCTTGCCCTACGGGTCATGATTTGAACAAACTTGAATCTACACTACAAGAGGGTGCTTTCATATACCAATGACCAATCATGGTTTTGCTGTTCTTGAGAAGATTTTAAAAAGATTTTTCCTACAAATTCCTATGTTAAACTTTGATAACCGAATCTACACTACCTTAGGATGCTTCCACATGAGTTTCCTGGCCCAGTGGTTCTTGAGAAGATTTTTAAAAGATGCCATTAATTGTTCACTAATTCATAATTATCTCCCCTTGGAAGAGGACGTGACCCTTCATTTGAATAAACTTGAATCCATTTTACCCAAGAATACTTTGTGGCAAGTTTGGTTGAAATTGGCCCAGTGGTTCTTGAGAAGATAAAAATGTGAAAAGTTAACGACAACAACAACGAAGACGTCGACAACGACGACAGACAACGGACAAATTTTGATCAGAAAATCTCACTTCAGCCTTCGGCTCAGGTGAGCTAAAAAGCATGTCGATCCCAGATTTACAAAGAAAAAACTGTAAAAGGAGGGGTCCATCCAAGTGCCTGTACTTAAAATACCTACATGTACTGTACGTATTTGGTTATGGTATGCCTGTTGTAATATAGTTAGATAAATAAATTAAAATAAAATTTCTGACAAAATTGTGTTGAATGAGCCATGTAGATAATAACAGTTAATTATTAAACAAAAAATTAGGAAAGTAGTAACCATCTACACATTTGGTGGTCTCTTACCTTGTAGTTTTCTTGGACGTCCAAGGTATATCTATAAGCAATATCTGGATCTTTCTTCACAGTTGCAACTACAGCTGAATAATGCAAGAGTGGTTAAACAAATTACAACAAGAACAAAAGAAAATGCATACACATTTCCAATCAACGTAAATAAAAATATCGAGATCGGTGCATGGTTATAGAGAAATATATTGACATTTACATTATTTGATCAATGCACATATTTCCTTTTATGTAAAACAATCACAATTTTATTTCAGAAAAATACGAGAGGAAAAATATTGTAATAAAATCATATGAATTTGTGAATGTCTGGGAAATTTGATGAATTCTTTATATATAAAATATATATGATAGTACATAAAATGTTTGGTTGACCATAGTCACCGTTACACACGAGATCATTAAAATCGGCCTCTGTCGGACACAGGCAAGCCTCGGTCTTATAAACACACAGGGCCAGAAAAAAAGAGAAAAAGAGTACAGTCTTTGTAAGGAACATGGTTTTGCCTTTGTAGAGATAGATTGAAAATTTTTGTTTTGTCATATTTATAATTTAATTACGACAATTCTCAGGTAAGCTTGGAATTTCAGTATAACCCTAATCTTAAATATAATTAGCATGTGAAATTTACACAGTTCCATTCACTGATGAAATACTAGTATACATGGGATAGAAATTCGAGCAAATGCCAATTAGTGTATCGAATAACCAACAAAATTGTCTCGTTTGGCAAAGAGGTGGAGCTTAAGTCGTCTCATCATTGTCAACAACAATTTAAATTTCCTGATGTTATTAATTTCTTAACCAATGAGAATCTATTCACCATTTGACAGACGCTAATTATGTAGCGCCGAGAATGCCACGCCTTACTGAAAGTCCAAGCTTACCTGAGAATTGTTCTATGTGATACATCGTCTCAAGCCACGGTTCGGAGTCCGCATATCAGAATGGGAGAGGATCGTACATTTTGGCCGTGGTTTGCGACGGTGTTTGTGATAAACAATACTTGAAAGTATCATTAATTTAAATTTGTTCATTGAGTAATATTGGTTGAGTTGAATACACTTCATCATTAGGCCTATAGAAAGAAGCTCAATGTCAAAGATTTGCTCTGGTTAACCCAAAATATGTATCTGATTTTTAAAAAAGTCAAATAAGATGTGCACAATGGCCCTATGTAACAAATATTCTGTGACAACTATTCCGATCACTATATACCCTTCCACTTTTCAAGTGGGGGTATGACAAAAATTTACAATAAAATAGAAGATAAGCGCATGGGAAAAAATTCTTGATAATTATATCTCAACCATGATTACCTGCGTGCAGTTTTATTTACATGGAAGTATCTTCAGTGGCGTAAATTAATCAAGTTTGTTCAAATCATGACACCTCCTCTTCCCAAGACCACTTTAATTCAAACTTTCCAATAATGACTTATTTCTTCTTTTTCCTAGCCAGTGTGCTCGGGTAAGCGATGCGTAGACATCAATATTTCATTTTAAAATTACTTACATGTAATATTATATCTCCCCGCTTGAAAAGTGGCAGGGTATTTGTGTATTTAGTGATTGGTAGTTCCGTCCGTCTGTCTGTTACGCTTCGGGGTACCCACCTCTTATCCGCAACTCCCCTTATACAACTGAATGAAATTTAATAGACTTTACCAGATTCTTTGTTACACAGAACCACACATATTGTGCACCTCCTATTTTTTTTTTACTTTTTGATTGTAAAACATTTTTCGGGTTTCCCATAGCAAATCATTGACTATAATCATGCCATTTTTTTCTACTACGAAGGGTATTCATCTGAATCATCTCTTATCTGCAATTCCTCCTACATCACTGCATAAATATACTTTCACAGATTCTTTATAACATGATGCCATTGTGTTCCTACTCTCTTACTTTTTAATCTGAAGCTTATTTCGTTATTTTTCGTGGTTTGCTATTATAACGCGAAAATTTCACATTTATACTGTAAAAACGTTTGAACTTTTTTTTTTTCGCAGAGGTTTTGCATTTCCTTTTTAACTATGGCTTTAGTAGATTTGTAATTTCCATGGAAAAGGAAAAAAACAGCGTAGTTTATAGCATAACAATAATTCATAACTATATATTATAATCTACAACTTACCGTTCAAAGTCTCTCCCGTTGTAAACGCTGAATTCGCAATTCCAGTTTCTTCCTTTTATATAGATAGGTCTGATTGAAGTATTTTTGTATCAATTACTTAGTAATTTCATGTTTACCAAAGATGTAGTATTCACAAGTACATATGATGCCCAATCATATGCATAATTTGATAATTTACTCATTACAAAACAACGTGTATAATAGTCTTTTTTGGTGATTTGAACAAATTTTATATGCGTAATGATACCTATAGAATAGCAGGAAAAACCTCATGAAAATGATTGTAATTGAAAATTACATTTATTATATCAGAGGACTCAACCCAAAATGAATAACTGATATTTGAGTTTGTTAAACATGTTGAATAAATAGTTCAGTCAAATGTCACAAAAATCTCATAAAATGATTCGACAGTATAATTTGTCCAAACCGGATTGGGTAAAAGATATACATGTAATAGTCATCCAATTTGTAT